CATGCAGTGTCTTTCACCCTACTTTAATATGAAGCCGTTAGTAAAGTGTGATATTACATGAAGTATTTTTGACTTTACGTAAACATGATTCCGATAGTAAAGTGCAATATTACATGCAGTGTCTTTCACCCTACTTTAATATGAAGCCGTTAGTAAAGTGTGATATTACATGAAGTATTTTTGACTTTACGTAAACATGATTCCGATAGTAAAGTGTAATATTACACGCATTGTCTTTCACCCTACTTTAATATGAAGCCATTAGTAAAGTGTGATATTACATGAAGTATAGCAACATTCTAATTATCATGCTGTTCATTTATGGCAACTTAAAACTCTGTCTCAAAGGTTTCATGGCAAGAGAATCAACTTCAGTTTTCTAGGTTTCAACCTCTTAAGACAAAGCAGTTTACACGAGTGTGATTATTTTATTCCCTGTGCTCACAGAGAATCTCATATCACGAGTAGATGAATAATTTAGTATTGGCTCTGAAGCTTTCTTGATATCGTCAAGACTCCACAAAAGTAAATGATTCGGGTATTTCGTTAAACAGAAGATGTCAAATTCGATCTTACAGTCAGTTTTTACAGACTAAAAAGTGTGCCACATAAAAAAACAAGAAAAAAAAGGCATTAGCTCGAATTAAGAATAGTAAATAGACTTACAGTGAATCAGTGAATTTTGGTTACAATTTATAAGTCGGAAGAGTAACCTTAATAATTAATATTTTCATCTGTAGCAACTTCTATTATCTGAAGGTTAGAAGGTTCCAGTGTTCTGAAACATGCATTCAAGATTTATGATGCACTTAGCTGGTGTATTGTTTTTCACTCCTGCGTGGGTGTGAACAGTATAACTCGAAAAATGTTAGTCTGATTTTGATCACATTTCGTACAAAGATTATTACCCAAAGAAACAGGTGATTTAACTGATTAACTTTGGATTAATAATAAATCAAATATCCAAATCACACTGAAGATCAACGACACAACTCGAAAAGATGTCATCTGATTTTCATCAATTTTCTCACAAAGTCTGCGTGTTTCCCAACGACAAGTTAATTACCTTTTAGTGAATATAGCTTAAAGATCAAGATCACACTGAGGGTTAATCATTATCGCTATGACGGTTACAAATGTAGATTTTGATAAATGATCAAAACTCGAAAAGAAATTGAGATGGAAAGAGGATCTTGACACCTAGACCTTCAAGTTATGATAATTAGAAGCTGTTGGATGTATATTTTAGGTTTGATACTGCAAACTAAAAACACGTTGTTGGGTGTGGTTGCACTCTCAGAGTGACGTTCTAGTTTTGTATGTAATAACAAGTTCTGGTTCATCAACTGTTCTAGTTTTGTATATAATAACAAATTCTGGTTCATCAACTGTTCTAGTTTTGTATGTAATAACAAGTTCTGGTTCATCAACCGTTCTAGTTTTGTATGTAATAACAAATTTTGGTTCATCAACTGTTCTAGTTTTGTATGTAATAACAAGTTCTGGTTCATCAACCGAAACTTGGTCTCGAACTTCGTCATCGCTAATAAACACAATAAGCTAAGTTTGTAAGTGAAGCAGTAGAATAAAATGCTATAGAAATGAACAAGAGTTTCTGAAATAGTTCCGAGAAAATTGTAAAAGTGAATGGTTTATTTTCCAAGTTTAGATTTATAGGACATTATCTGAACTCACCTGTAGAGTACACCTGAGTACAGTCTCCTAGTTTGGTCTCCACTAGGTTATGTTGTGGTAGCTCAATTGAATCGTCCACCACCAGTGGTACTTCTTCTTCCCAGTCGAAGACTAGATCATCAGTAGTATACGACACTGAAATATAATAAAGAAAAAAACTAGCTTCTCCAAAACATAATCTGTATTATGTATGAAAAGTTGCTATCTCTGTAAATAAGGAATTTGTTAAAATAGATGTAAGAGAAATAGAAATATGTGGTCAACGTTTCAGTCTAAAGATCGGATTGTCCGGAAGAAACGTTGACCACATATTATTCTTCCGTTGTAGTGATTTTAATCTTATTTTTTACTAGCTTTTAACTGCAAGGCAGACTGTAGTTTCCTTTGTTTATTTGATGTGTAACTACATAAACATATTTGGCGTTATTTCCATAATATTTTGCATTAGCACATTATAAACTTTACATTTTATAAAACTTATAAATACACAGCTATGCTTCAGATTACTACTTTAAGTCCGTGAAAACATTAAATTAAAGATGTTACTATTTAGGTCTTCCTGTATTCAGGCGTACTGAGTCCATGTAGAGCACACGCTACCCGTAACTACTGTTTAATGGCAGTTTGTGTTTAATTTATCATTTTGTGTTGGGCGTTTATAAAGGCAAGATTAAACGTTGTAATTAATCTTTCTTTTGTTAACATTTACAGGACGTGGTTATCCTCCTTCCACAGCCTCTTCGCAACTTCTATGTAATAAGTATTGAACATAGAATGAGATTAAAATATCGTCATTTAGCCAAAGACTAATACAGAATTATGCAAATAAGTTTCAAATTAATGAAATAAAATGTTGATAATAGAAAGAAGTAAGTTAAATGTAAATCTCGTAGCTGATTAGGGAAATTAAGTTGTCACTTAATCAATCTAATTTTTTTTACTTCTATACTAACAAAACTGTAGGAGTAAAAAAAAAAATATTTTAAACCAATGAGCCTTTCTCATTTCATTTTATTTTCGGTTTTGAAAACAAGAAACCATATATTTTGTTAAAATATGTTTTGCCATGTTTATGTGCATAAAAAAAATTCTACCCGTTTTCTGAAATGATCTCTACCTTAAAACTTTCGAGCCTCTGCTGGCCGATCTAGACAATAATTACGTTCATAGATCTTGAAAGTCTCGTCACAGTTAAACCTTTTTAAATACAACTTCAGCAAAAAAGAGAGAGAAAAAAAGATTGAACTTACAGCTTTCAATTTTTAAAGTGCACGTTTGGGTATCGTGGGGATAAGTCTCGAACTTCATAGCACAAGATAAGAGAAGCGTTAACCTGGAACATGCAAAAGAACGACATCATGAATACTAGCAAGAAAACTTACTGGTTATTTACCCAGTTTCTATTAACACGAATACACTAAAAACTACTAACATGTGAGACCAAAATTTCTTCAAGTGCTTTTTATTTCCAATCATCTACAGAGTATATTCTTTTAATACAATACTAGATAAGCAACAAATGGCGTCTAATCTTTGTTAATTAGGAATTCATTCAACTGTTGTTTGAGTGTGTTTAGTCAGAGCTCTGAAGAAATAGATGGCTGCATTGTTATTGTTGTTGTTTAGGATAACTAAAGTGATGAAAAATAACAAAGGGTTATTTATAATTACGTCACTTTTCATAACAATTTTGAAATTATACATAGTATAACATTAGTTGAAAATGTTTTAAAATTCCAGTGAGTGTAATCATTACATAAGTTATTTACTTAAGTCATAATCAAAACATTGTGTCAGTTCGCCCACAGTCATAATTTCTAGATGAATGATTTAGATAACGAAACGCTAACTAACAAACTGCTAAACAGAAATAAAAATAAGAAGTTATGTAAGTTATAGAACAGATACAAAAGGTAAAAACCTGGGAGAAAGATAGGTGCGGATATAGCACCCAAAATATGTTGGAGATATCTGGTTTCTTCAACTGAAGTCCAAATCGCAAGTGAAAAACTGTTATGCAAGCAACTGAAGAACAATAAAAAAGGAGTAAGTTTCAAGCTGACTCACCATTCACTAACCTCCTTTAGTTAGGGTATTTTAATAACCCCATAATACAAGGTTAAAAATATCAGAAAATCACATAAATTACACATCTTCAACCATAAATCAAATAATACACCCATCCAACATGCAGTCAATGAATATAAACACTGCAATAATATAGTGGAGCTATGCTATTCACCTTCATAATTTAAAATGTAAAATCTGTAATGAGTATAAAGGGGTTACTAATCTGTAATGAGTATAAAGGGGTTACTAATCTGTAATGAGTATAAAGAGGTTACTAACCTATAATGAGTTTAAAGGGGTTACTAATCTGTAATGAGTATAAAGGGGTTACTAATCTGTAATGAGTATAAAGGGGTTACTAATCTGTAATGAGTATAAAGGGGTTACTAATCTGTAATGAGTTTAAAGGGGTTACTAATCTTTGGTGGAAAATAATAATTTATCCAGTGTTACTATGGGTTTAAGGTCTCACCCATTTTTTTCTTTTGCAGCTCAAGAGTTAATTTGATGTCCTCAACGCCTTTTGTGTGCTAGTTAAACAGTTATCTTTCTCTAAGTTTACACCTTTTTCATATGTTCTGCAACTGGTATAAATTTTCAGTTGGAGCACAAAAGTTTAAAGTTATATATATATATTTGTGGACTGAAAGTAAGATAAATGATGAGACAAATACGTTATTATTCTAACATTTTTAAGGAGAGAGAATATCGTGTGTTATCACAAGCTCATTTAATTTTAATGAAGTTTCGCTGAAGAAAAAGTTGCATGTTTGCACATGTCACAAACTACAACATGATCATACCTTTATTCACTACTAATTAAAATTACAATATTAAAATGAAAGTCGATCAGCTTCTTGTCACACACATTTTGAAATAAATTCTGCCTCTTAAATACTACACTACTAGCACAAAAATCAATCAACTTATTAAGAATTAAGTTTGGAATAAGTCCTGTTTTTTAACTGATCTGCAGTACTGTTATTAAGTTTAGAATATGTCCTGTTTTTAACTGATCTGCAGTACTGTTATTAAGCTTGGAATAGGTCCTGCTTTTTAACTGATCTGCAGTACTGGTATCAAGTTTGGAATAGGTCCTGCTTCTTAGCTGATCTGCAGTACTGTTATTAAGTTTGGAATAGGTCCTGCTTCTTAGCTGATCTGCAGTACTTTTATTAAGTTTGGAATAGGTCCTGCTTCTTAGCTGATCTACAGTACTGTTATTAAGTTTGAAAGCGGTCCTGCTTTTTAACTGATCCGCAGTACTGTTATTAAGTTTGGAATATGTCCTGCTTCTTAATTGATCTGCAGTACTGTTATTAAGTTTGGAATAGGTCCTGCTTCTTAATTGATCTGCAGTACTGTGATTAAGTTTGGAATAGGTCCTGCTTCTTGTTATCTTTAACTTTCGGAATTATTTTGCTCTTTCAAGTTGTTTTGAACAGTACACGGGAATTAAAACGTAAAATCTAAATCAAATGGAGTTCTAACAGGACTGACGCTTTTATATCAGGTAACCTTTAATCTTCTTGTAGAATAAGAAGGATAAGTTGCGATCAATTTCATCACACACGTTTAATAACATCTTTCTTTATTAGCTAAATGACTTAAATAGATACATAGATTTAGCTGATCCAGCTGTTGTACTTGAATTGAAATTCGAAATGTTGAATAAAGTTAAAAATGAGTACTTAGAATGATTTTAAAGTCATGTCTTACACCAGAGAAAATGTTTGACCTTGCTAGAGTGTGAAAAACGCTGTAATATTTCATGAAACTACGTAGTAGGTTAGTACATGTTGCGATGCTGTATACCTATTTTAACGTAACGCATTGCAGTGCAGGAAATATGATGTAACTTGACAATACTTTGAGAAACAACAAAAGCTTGGAATCTGATAACAGACAATTTCTTATATAAAATACGAAGAATAAAATCCATAAATATTATAATTTTACTGTTTACGTCATAAATTATTTTACAGAATGGAAATGAAATGCTTCAGTTATATTATTATTTTAAGTTGTTATTAAAGACTCACTTTGGGAAGAAATACAAAGTTAGCTTGGGTATGCGTCTTTAGGATTCAATAAACTATCCAATAACATAATAATTTTTAAATTCCATACACTAAACATATTTCATTAAAAATGTATTAGTCTTCCTGCAACTAGTGTTAAGCAGTAATAACATTAATTATCCCTATATATAGTTAAAACAGAAGAGTCTGATATCGTGTACTAGAAAATAACAAGAACGTCTTAACATTCATCTTTAGGTTTTATTTCATTACAAACTATTTCACTCGAGTAAAGATTCCTTGTTTCATAACCACAAATAACTATTATATAATGTTACTTTGCTTGTAAGAACAGTCCGATACATTTTGTTTTTCAGTAAAATATTTTTTCAACACAAACAGCGCTTGTTTTATCGATTTTTGTATCACCAATGAAAACCAAAACCTAAATTTAACAGTTTTTTCTCTTCTCAGTTAGGAAAATCTATAACTCGTGAAAGTTACCTCCGTGTGCAATATGTTAAGAACGGAGAAGTAAGACACATTATTTTCCAGAACTGCAATGGACCAAATGCAAATTGCATGTTAATTTTCCAAAGCATGGTTTCCCAATTTGCGTGAGTATTACGATTGTAAATTAATGAGTAGTTAGGTTTTAAGTGACTGCTTGCCGTGAATGGGTCTATAGCAAAGCTACACAATATTGTACATATAATTTAGTTGTGTTGTTACTGCTATATAAATTTATAATGTTATATCCTCTTGTGGTATAGAAACTGTGGATCAGTAAAAACAATTCCTCCATTTTTGTTATAAAAACTGAATGAAAAGGGGAAAATATCTTTGTTGTGATTGTTGTTTATATATGTGTGTGTGCGTGTGTGTGTCTGTTTGCTAATTGTGAAAGAAATGTATGTTCATCTTGTTGTAAGGCGCATAGCTATACATCGAGCTATCTGTTATCTGTGCTGTTCCCACCATGGGTATCGAGACCTAATTTTTAACATTTTTAGTTCTTAGCTATTGGGGGCTTTTTTTTTGTAACTTAATAGCTGATATCATGAATAACACAGTGTAATTAATTGTCAGGCTCAACACATACTAAGAAGCTAGAATAATTGAAATCTACATTAAATTTCCTGGACCCCGAGTTCTTAATGTTACGCGGTACTCATGCTTACTTCACTTTGAAGTACCGTTTCTTTAACTGTCAAAACTACTTGACCACATCTAGACTAATGTTTTACTGGTTTCAAAACCTAGTTAACTCTGATGACCCATCAGCAGCTCGGCCATCTTAAACACACTTAGGTTAATTTATCATAATATAAACATCTGTTTGATTATTATTATTGCTAATTTCAAACCTTATAACATAAATGGATTATCAATCACTCACCAAATATATTTGATTATATAAATTTATTTTCATTAGTTACTAAATCGTTTTCTGTTTTATTTTACCACATTTAGGTTAATTTACCATCAACTAAAATCAATTAAACGTAAACCTACTTCACCATATAAAGGATAGTTTTATCGTTGTATAGCCAAATGTAATGGTTTGGAATAGTCATTTCTTGGAATGTCACTTTCTTGGCATTTTTAAAAAAAGAGTCTGGTCTCCACATCTGTTTGAGCCAACTAACTGGAAGTAGCCGGTAGTACATTGTCATGTTTTCAGGAAGTCGTAATCTGTGGTCCTTCCAGCTTTGTGACATAAATATATCAGCGACGTAAGTCTGACAAAATAGATTAAACAAATTTAGAGGATGCTATTGCCTCCACACATGGACAAAAATAAACACAGAGATGAACCAATTTAAGAGAAATGGCAGAATCTACTCAATATCTTAGGAATGTGGTTTCATTTTGACAAGACTATCTACTCATCCTTAAGGAATGTGGTTTCATTTTGACAAGACTATCTACTCATCCTTAAGGAATGTGGTTTCATTTGAACAAGACTATCTGCTCATCCTTAAGGAATGTGGTCTCATTTGAACAAGACTATCTGCTCATCCTTAAGGAATGTGGTCTCATTTGAACAAGACTATCTACTCATTCTTAAGGAATGTGGTCTCATTTGAACAAGACTATCTACTCATCCTTAAGGAATGTGGTTTCATTTGAACAAAACTATCTGCTCATCCTTAAGGAATGTGGTTTCATTTTGACAAGACTATCTGCTCATCCTTAAGGAATGTGGTCTCATTTGAACAAGACTATCTGCTCATCCTTAAGGAATGTGGTCTCATTTGAACAAGACTATCTACTCATCCTTAAGGAATGTGGTTTCATTTGAACAAGACTATCTGCTCATCCTTAAGGAATGTGGTTTCATTTGAACAAGACTATCTGCTCACCCTTAAGGAATGTGGTCTCATTTGAACAAGACTATCTACTCATCCCTAAGATTTGTCTTATCTATCCAGCCATCTAACCAATCTAGATCACTCCTGTTGTACTTCTTTCCATAGATTTTCAGTGGATGCTGTCGTCTTTCCTGTGTTGTTTTTCTTATATATGAATGCTTTTATAGAAAAATTAAAGGAAGTACCCTATCATGTAAAATTGAAAACTTGTTTACTATCGGATACACAGAGTACATATAATACCTTTGGTTACAACGCTTCACCAGGTTAACTTAGTAGCATTATCAGGTATAAGAACTACAATGAGTGAACTCGTAACCTATATAACACGAAAATTAGCGGATGGATAATTGGTATTTGATTGTTTGAGCTTAAAAAGGCCTGCACAATATAAAAAAAAAAGTTGGTGAAATACCTTCACGTGTCCTCTTCAGTCCAACGATTGGTTGTTGAGACAAACATTTTTATTTTATAACGAAAGTTCCAAGTCCCTTTACGGCACATGACGTCAGAGAGGAGGTTCAATTTAAATTGGCCTTCAACTGAGTTTAAAGTTTGGCAACCGTTGGATTAATGAACCTTCCCACAGTTTTATTTTGACATAGTTGATTTTATGATCAAGATACCTCATCTATAGATAAATATCAATAGTTGTTTGACCATTTTCAACATATTTTTTTATATTCTGCGGGTTTTGTTAAGCTTAACAAACCAAATACCTATGCCAGTTTTTCGTGTTAGCTAGGTCAGGGCCCGGCATGGCCAGGTGGTTAGGGTGCTCGACTCGCAATCTGCT